CCCCCCCCAACAAAAACAACTAAAGATAACAGAAAAACAATTGAAAATCAATGCCCACAAAGACTTGATTTACAGCATCCACAGGTGGTTTGTATCAATACAGTCAGTTTTCTTCGCAAATTGGCCTTCAACGTGATGTGTGTCTGAGTCATATATATATACAAGAACAGATAAACTCAGATTTAAAAAATCAGGAAGCTCAGAGTGAGGATGGCTAGAAGAGTACTTTTATCCCTACTAGTTTGTTACATAGAAATTGTCTGTCAATAACAACAGAGTTGAAAAAAACATTCATTATGAGCCGGCTTATGGAAAAAAAAGAGAGTAGAGCCTGCATTTCAGAAAAAGAAAAACCCATTACAGATTTGACAAATGCTCTACATTCAGTAAAAAGAGAAAAATTAATACAAAAAGCAATAAAAAATGACTAAGCACCTGAGTCTTGCATTCCATAAAGAGTGTTCCAAGCCATGATATATTCAAACTTTTTGTTGAAACAAAAGCACAGTAAACACGTAGATTAGTCTCTAACAAACTAAACGTTCTGAATAAATGACCATAAAATTGTCTTGGACGAAACAGTGGGTGCGAAAGTGACATGGTGGAACATTCATGACATCACTGCAGACAGAGGTGTTTTGTTGGGGTTTGGTTTTTTTTTTTTGGGGGGGGGGGTTACTTTGAGTGAAGTGAATGTTCCTTGCGGAGTTCATCGAATTTAAGACATTAGATTACGATGTCATGTCTTAATAAAAATGGCAAGGCAGGACAAGATCAAGAATGAGAATCAGAGATATAGACAACAGCACACTCAGGACGATTCAAAGAAGAAGAGAGAATTGCGAGAGTGAGTTTGGACACATTTAAAGATGAGGTAGGCTGACTCATACAGTAAGACACCACAAATGCAAGTTGCTCTCGCCATAAGAAGACAAAGAAGGCTACAGAAAAAGTTAACGGGCACAGTGAAAGAAGACGTGCATGTGGATGCAATGAAAGAAGATGACCAAAATGTTAGAAACAGAAAGATATGGAATGTTTTGCAGGTCAACCTCAGACTGGAGCAGCCTACAACAAGTACAAAAAAATAGAAGACCCAACTAAGGACTTCTCAAACCAGTCTTATTTCATAATTATGAAGAAGAAATATGAAAAATAGAAAGCTTGCCTGACATTTCAGCCATGACCATTTAAACAAAAATAAAGATCATGATGTTCAAGTCTTTTCTTAAGAAAGACAATATTACAAACATACTTTAAATGGCTGGCTAAAAGAAGTGTTAAGATAAAAACAAAATATTTCTTTTTCACTTCTAAGAAAACAGCAACCCTAATTACTTTTCTTAAAAAACCCGTGACCCACTGAAATACGTGACCAATTTCACATACGAAAAATGTTATTTGCCTAAATCATTGTGACAAACAAGAGAAGAAATCATGACTGGAAGCAGAGCTGAGGGAATAACAGAGAGAAATAACAAGAAGAGAATTGGAGTGATGACTGACACATCTCAGTACTCAAGCGAAGCAAACTTAAACGATCAAAAGCATTACTTAAGACTTGAGCAGAAGCAAAATGTAAGTAACAGGAATAATTCTCGAGAAATAGGGGAAAAATTACTTAATTAACTTTAAAACCAAACCTTACAAATCATAAACCTATGTCAGAATCGGCCTAATCATATTATTTGGATTTACTTAAGTACTAAAATAGATAAAACGCAAGTAATGACTGTGACACCACCTTTCCAAAAAAAAATAATAAAAAAAATAAAATGTAAACATTCCAACATATTAAAAGGCCCCTTTTTCTACCTCCAGCAAGTAAAAATACCCGTAACGACTACACCTGATCAAGACAGGAAACCGGACTTTCACTTTTTGTGGGGGGGGTTTGTATTTAACAATGCCAATTTTGGACTTGAAAACTAACCCAAATGATATTTTCTTATCAACATTGTTAGATTCTGTCAAAACATTTCTGTTTCTTATCAGCCCAGAACTTTGCCTGCCTTGTCTGCTTGAGAAGAGTAGATAATTGGGACTTTGTCCTTGAACATTCTTAAAGCAGACTAAACATCCAATTTGAAATAAATGCTCATTTTGAGGACAATCATTGAAGAGTGTTTTTTTTTTAAATAAAGTTTTTAAAAATATATATTAAAACAGAAGTATAGACAAAACTAAGCTAGTGTGATGATCACTGACGGTGCATCAAAACGGATAGCTGGTGAAGTTATATTCAGGTGAAGACAAATTCTAGTCATGGATTAACAAGACTCCATATTAGCACCTTAACACCTCATACTTCTCTCTCCCACATACACATCCACTTGTGTAGGAAAATGCAAGGCCCACTTGGTGTGGCACAGTTGGTTAAGAATTTATCCAGAAAGAGGGAGTCCAATTTTCAAATCAAAGCAAATCTGAATTTTTCTTGAGTTTTTAGTACGTTGCCGTTAGATCTCCCCGATCGGCAATGTTTACCACCCAGTTTCTTTGGATTTTCCCCAAAATGCCTTTGCTGGCAAGGGTTTTTACAATATGAGCCTTGTGATGGCAAAGAGTTTAAAAGGTAAGATTTTCTCTCAGTCCTGTACAACATAGGGCAGGGCTCTGCAACCTCTGACCTTTATGACTTCAAAGCCTAAAGCCCCTCTACTTTTTTTATTTTAATATCCAGCATAATGGGCTTTATTGCAACTACCATGCATGAATATAAACACTGTTTCATTCGTTGCAAAATGCTACTCCCTGACTGGTATTAGGCAGAGGCCGATGTATGCATCAATGATGAGACGCTGACACCCGTATCCGCCTCATCCCACCTCCATTACACGTACTCGCTCTACTACTGTTGCAACAGACCAAGGTAGACTTTAAATAAAACAAGTTCAAGTACAGGTATGCATATAATTGAGTTATCAATGTCACTTCCATTTTATGCTGTGCTATTTTCAAATGATTTGAAGTAATTTCTTTGACACTTGTTTTTTTTTTTTCGTTTAGCAGGCCTTCTATGAGCTCCGGTGTGGCCTGGTTGGATAAAAAGGTTGTCTAAAACCCTGCCATAGAGGGATTAAAAGGTCTAGAACGGCACAACACTTCCATAAAAACAAGCATACACGAATACACAAGCTAGCACTCTTTCTCTCTCTCTCTCTCCCACTCATTCACATTTTCTCTCTAACACCAACAAAAAAAACAACAACCCACACACACTGCCAGAGCAGAAACACATATTCAAGCATTGCCCCTGAACCTACATCTAAGAGTAAACGATTGATCAAAAATATGGATATTTCTACTGAGATTGTCATCAAAAGATAAATACTTCGTGAACACTTAAAATGTTTGCCTTTATGGAAGACTCAGAATAATCTCACATATATTAAACATGACTTAACATTGAAAAGGAAATTTTGAGAATTTAATTTTTAGAAAATCTTCAGTAAAAACTTCATGCAAGACACTGCGAACTAATTATTACTGTTTCCATAAGACTGAAGCATAAAAAGAATAGAAAATACTGATAATAAGAGCACACATCTCAGGTCTTCGCAGTCCAAACAAGTGTACACCAAAGCAAAAATACATAACGACATCGTTGTTTTCTTTACAGATTTCACTTCTAAAGTATAGTGAGTGCATCATGCTCTTCAGACTGGAGAACATAAAAAATCAGACCAACTAGATAAAGCAAAACTGTCTGAAATGCCACAGCAGACGCTATGCACTTTGATGATATATCCTAAAGTTTTTACAATGGCAAAGCACTTTAAGCTATCATTATTTGAATTTTCAAGAAAGAAAGAAAGAAAGAAACCGCATGCATAAAACCAAAAGCTAGTAGTAATAGTTATGGAGATTTTTGTTTGTTTTTGGTATCATGCAGAGAGCATCCTGTGCCACAAGTGAAACTCCTGGGTTACACCAGTACCAGAAGTGGAGATGCCAGTTGACTTCAATCAAAAGGGTCAAACCACAGAGCGGCTGGTGATTATCCCTTACTTAAAGTCAGACGTTAACCACGACTTACAGCTTGGTTGAAAAATTTATAAAGCAAATTAACACATCAACCCTGATAACTGACTTCTGGGGTAAACTTATGAGCCATTACAGAAGGGAAAAGGAACATAATTGTCCAGTAAAATTCCAGGATGAGTTTCAGTAATTCTTACAAAGCAGTGCTGTTATAAAAAAAATAAATTTAAACTTAAAGATGAGAACTTGCAGTAAGACATCAGCTTCATAAAAAAAAAATTATCAGTTCCCAGGACCCTTTCGAAACCATGCTGTAATGTCTTACAGACAATACCTTCATAGTAACATACCCCACTGATAACAAACTAAACTTTAAAACATACGGGCACAAGTTGGTCCTGCCTTTGCTCTTACAGGCTTTCATGCTCTATGAACTGCTGCTATGTGCTTGGCACAAAATCTAAGCAATCGGGTAACCGCCAAGATCTACAAAATCTACATAAACAACTGAAAGAGGATTACTGAAGCTATTCACACAAAAGCTGTTGGAGTAATCAGCCTAGGACGATACAGACATGACTTAAAAGAGTCAATGGGGGAGAAAGGAAGAGAGTTGGTGAAAGAATTGTGGGCATCTGTCTCATCCAAACATGGTTCAATGCTGGTTTCATATCCAATGCAATGCAATGCATGATGCATGAAGTTCTTTGAGTAATAAGGACATTCGACCGGGAAAGGGGAGGGGTAGCTTGTGCTCAGAAGGAAACAAGGGGATACACCGGTTGAACAGTAATGATTCATTGTGTACATACCCACATATGCTTTATCAGGGGGGAAAAAGTGTGAAGCACACAGTGGTTTAATCAGACAAGCATGAATATTGTGAGATCATTTTGACAAAAACATATATATATATAGACGTATCTGAGATGAAATGAGACAGATGAAAAGTGCAACTTTCTCAAATGAATTGTGCTTTGGATTAAGAAAACCAAAAATGACTTGAAGTTGTCAGTTACATAACATGAAGATGAGGCAGAAAGAAGATGAGGTGCTGCTGCTAAAAAAACAATTAAGACAAAGCCTAGTAAATAAATTAGAAAGGAATACATTAATCCTATAAAAAATCTGCCGAAAAAACGGTGCTTGTATCAATCAAGACTTCAGAAGTTCAACAGGAAAAAGAAAACAGTTGGTTACAAGGGCAAAAAGTGCATTAAAAGTAAACAAAATCATGGAGTATCAAGATGCTTGATGGAAGGACTCACCGATGAAAACGCCTATTTTTAGCACAGGGAGGAGAAAGCACAACAGCACAATGTTAATGTGTAATCATGCAATATGTCTCACAAGTGTCAACACAAAAGCTTTCTACACACTTTCACTTTTTGTAGATTGGTAGACTGCCATACAAACTGAAAAAAAAAAAAAAGAACCCACCAAGGAATAAGTGCCAGCTTACTAACTTAGACATTTACTTTTTCATTACACTTGGAGGCAATGTTTTCGCTTTAAAAAAAAAACCTAATTAAGTTTGAAATAAGATGTGACGGCCCCAGTTTTGTGATTAAACAACCTGACTCTGCTGCCATCTAATACAGTGTGTCTATAAAACTATTGACAACTCTGAGAAAGAACGCCTCTTAATATGAAAGTTGCTTGGTTCTTAAAATAGGCGCTTGATGACTTGATGCATTGCCATTATCATAAAATCTTTTCCATCACAATGACTTCAGACATGACACCCACCAATCCACAGAAAGAATTAAGCATATGGAATCAGGGCCTTTTCTGGCCCACTTTCGCCCAGCTTCAAAAACTCAGGAAGGGGTCGAAATACTCAAAATAAAAATGTTGCTCTTTCCAAAATCGATTTACAAAAATTATTTTTTAACGATGTACTTCAAATTTAGTGTAAATTATTTCATATTTAATTTACTACCCCGTCTTCAATATTTGACTTTATAAACAACCTGCAAGAAAAAGCCCTGCTGGTAAGGGGGGGAAAGGTGGGGGGACCTGTTAGCCTTCCATAGGAATAATAACAGACAAGGTCTTGACAAAGGCGTACAGTCATCATATCAATGGACTGAACAGTAATCACATAGGCATGTTTGAAAATGCACACTGCCACCAGGAAAACAAACTTGTACAAACAGTTCACATGACACAATGGGGATCAATAGAGGAAAGAGGGAACAAGATATGCACAATGCAGAGTACACATTATAATAGAACTGATTATTACGGGTTATAATAGCTTCATCCAATAAAGGATCCCCACCATTTCTACTGGCCGTTAAAGGTGTTAAAAGACAGTTTAAAAAAAAAACCAAAACAAAAAAATGCATCTCCCTAAAATAGTGCACTATGTTATAATGGGATTTGTTGTTACCAAGGTGAGTAAAAGTCAGTTATGACCACATAGCAGCTACAACTCATAACAGGGGGAAAAGGGACGCAAAGAAACTATCAAAGGGTATGACATAAAATAGGTTATAATAAAACTGTGGGTCCTCTTCCAGATATTACAAATACTTCTGTACCAGATTCCCTTTCCCTACAGCATTTCAGAATGCCTGCGGTTGAGGGTTCTGTGTAGCTTTCCGAGTCTGATAGACATTAAGGAGTAATCACAAATATATCACGTGTAAGAGACCAAATACCAAAGACCAACATCATCACAAGGAGAAAATCCATCACCTCAATTACAATCCACCTTCACAGTATTAACAGCAACAGCGCATGCCAATGAATGTCTGAAAGCTAAAAAGACAGTTACTTTTTCTTTCGTATTCAGGAATGTTCATCCAGGTTAATTTTGAAACAAAAAAAAGAATCAGTGGGTTTGGAAATAGAATGTTATTTCTTTTCTGATGATTTCTCGTTCCTTTTTTGGAGGGGAGGGGGTTAACTTTTCAAAGAAATCCTTATTCAATAAGGAGACATGCTTTACTGCTGTCAACAGAACTGAAACAAACAACATAACGGCACACATGGTATTTTCGTTCTTGTCCAAGACACGGCACAAAGCACAGCCACGTTACCTCGGCATGGTGTTCCTCGTTCTGTTGCAGTACTTCAATGCACAACTCGGCCAGATGCATGATGTCATCCAGCTTTTTTTTGGGTGGGATATCCTCACCTAGGACTTCTACAGTAAGGAAGGGGGGGAAAAACAAAGCTCATCATAGAACCAGGAACAGGCATCAGCAATGCCATTGTACTGAGTCTTTCCATAATCAAAAGACCACGAGGAAGGAAAAGTTAACAGATAAAACTTTGGCCAGGTAAATGATATGGGAACTATTACAACTGTAACATATAATTTTGGTGTCAAGATAGTAATCACATTTTTGTTTGTTTGTTTGCTGTTTTGTTGGGTTTTTTAAAAACAGAAATGAGTCCAGCAGTCAAAAGACCAGAGGAAATCTTAACAGATGAAACTTTGGCAAGTTAAATGATATAGGAGCCATTGCAACTGTAACATATATTATTGATGTCACAATAGTGTTGACTGGTGTTTTCTTTCTTTCTTTTTTTTTTTATAAACAGAAATGAGTGCAGCAGGTAAAATTGTAAGCTAAACACAAGCATTAGACAGTCAAGAGAATCGTTCCAGATACAAGGATAAGGGTTATCTGTAAAGAATCATTTTCAACAAAGGAGAAAAAGACAGAAGTAAACTTTCCACTATTGTAAAAAGACAGAAGTAAACTTTCCACTATTGTAAAAAGACAGAAGTAAACATTGGACTATAGTAAGAACTGGCTGTCTTCCCTGTCATTTCTCATATATATCAAATGCAAATATTTTTCTCAATACTGTAGGGAACAAGCAACCAGAAATTGTTTCTAAAAATAAAAAGACAATTGAAAAAAAAAACAACTACTACCTAAACTGAATGCAACATTTCAGTGCTGGTTTTCATTGTATTTGTCCAAGATGAAATACCTTGTTTACCCCTCAAAAATGGGGGGTTGTTTTTTGGGGATTAAAAAAAAACCACAAATACAGCTACAGAGTACAACATCAAAACAAAACTAAAACAATATTTTCTAGAGTTTAAAAAAAAGTAGTAAAACTGACAAAAAGAAAATCATCATAAAAATAAAACCCAAAACATACATTTAAGAAAAACATTAAAGTTTTCGTACAAAGAAAACACACATTTCCAGTAGGATGAAATATGTTAAATCCTAACAATAAATAGAACGTAAACAGCTGAAAATTTGACTAAGAAGAACAAAAAATATTTTTCAATTAATGTTTAAATCAGTTTTAGGCCTACATGAACATGTAAATCCAAAACAATCTACAATACAGTCACGTGAAGAGACAACCACGGCCAACAAAAGAAAAAGGCTACAGCAATGATATGTCTTGAATGGTCACCTTGACATAAAGAAACAAAAATATAAAAAATAAAAAGAGTTCCAATTTTAAACAAACACCAATCACAGACAGCGAGTTGCATTCATTCACACTTTATTCCTGATTATTTCACACAACGACAACTTGGTAGTGAAAATTTTGAAGAGTTTTTTTTTTTCATCCGACACCAACTGACCTAATTCACTTGAAGAAAAACACCGACTGACCTAATTCACTTGAAGTAAACAAAGGCACACTAAAGCAGTGACAGACATAACGCACTAAGAAAAAAAAAACAACCAAAAAGCATGACGAAAGATAAAAGAGAGCTCTCACTCTCTCACTCGAAAGTGGTGCTTGCTATCAACTATCCACACATCAATGAGGTGAATTACACCTACAGGAGCGTCCGCCCCGTACTTGATGAAACAAAAAGACACATCTACTCGGAAAACTGAAACCAAATACAACTAGATTTCGAAATGGGGAGAGTACAACACATGATTTTGAGAGTGGGACACGAACAACACAATTACAGCTAACTCATGTCTGAGCTAAGAAAAGCAAGACTTTTTGAAAGCATGTGGTTCAGTTCTCAGTAAATCACACTGTAAATGGGTAATGAGGAAAAATAAAACACAGCCTTCCTTCATCTGAGGACAGCTGCATTTCATTTCCATCAAAGAAATAATCATCAAAGTGAAATGTAACCTGTCTTTGAAGCTTGAAACCAAAGATGTCAACAGTCCACTCAAAATGAGAAAAATATAATGAAACAGCTTTGAGAATCACCATTGCTGGAGGTACTTTTAAAAATTGTCTACCTTTTCACTGGTGCTATTTTCAAAAAGCTTTCAATGTTCTGTACATAACTGAAGTGTCTGAAATCCTTTGAAATGAGCTATATCAATTATCTAAATAACATTTTTTTAAAAATCCCAGTCAAGATCTGAAACCAAAGCATGCCTCGACTCACCATTTTGTTTTAAGTAGCACCGCCTCAGAAAGTTTTTTAGTCAGACAAAGCACGGGGGAATATTCTGAACTAAATCCTCGCACACAATGAAACCGGCTGGAGACATGATGATAAGGAATTTGAAATTTTCATTCTCTGAAAGCTTGCAGCCCTATGGCATACATTGGCATACAAAACTCCATGACAGGTTCATCATTTAAAAATGCTTGAATTATCTGGGAGTACTAGAGCCAATTTAAAATAATTATCTCTACTCTTTACTGAGTTTACTGCTGAACCAATAGAGGCTGGCCTATTTGCTACAAAATGAGAACAGTGCCTTGATTGATACCTACCGCCAGCTCCTAGAGTGCAACACAGACAGAAGCAACAGTGAGAGAGCTGTGTCATTGGTCATTAAACAATAAGCACAAACAATAATAATATGTTTCCTACATCATTCTTTCTCCCCCACCCCCCCATTTCTTTACATTATAAAAAATCACCAAGGATACCAGTCACCAAAATCTTTAAAAGGAAGGAAGAAAAAAAAATCCGTAACTTGCAAAGACAAATGTGAATGAAAAATTGGAGCATGAACGCAGGTCTCGTTCACTTTATCAACCTCACAGAATCAGAAAAACTCGAAACAGCTGAAAGTTACCATAGCGTTTAACAAGTCTAAAATGCTCAACTTACTTTCACAAATACTGAATACACAGAATATCTTATAAAAAGCAAATATTTCAATTACGTATCCATCATTTACACATAAATGACAAAAAAGATAGATACTGCTCAAATCTACGGTAAAACAAAGATACAGAGACATAGAAGGTAGGGAGTGTAAACAGAGGAAAAAAAATTATTTTGTTTAAACACCACAATCAATGTAATTCAGCACTTAAGTTACAAAAAAAAATGCGCAAAGAGGGACAAGTGTTGAGGGCAAAGGATTGGGCAGCTTTTTAAAACAGTAAGGGCTGGGTAGTGAGGGGGTAACCGTAGTAGGCCTATCTGTTACACAGAAAGAAAAAAAAAATGAAAACCAGAAACAATCAGCAGCTGAAAAGCTCATGCCTCAGGCTTTACAGTTCTGCCAAAATAAAGAGCTGACTTAATACTGATAATTTGTTTCCGTGATAACATGAACACAAGTTCAGACACAAATTCTAAGCTATAAAAACAGAAAAAAAAGGCTCAACAACATGAAAATGAACTAGCTAATCTGTGGAAAATGTGAGTAAACGTACAGCTAAAAATAAGCAAGTGCTGATTAAAGAAAATTGAACTACACACTGAAAAAACATTTATATATGGCAAAAAAAAATCCATTCAGATCACCTTTTTTACGGCCTGTGTGCCCAAGACAGAAAAACAATTTGGTGTCATTTATTCTGTAACATACTCCATCACCCCACTTGAGAAGAAATGTGGGTGCATTCAAATAAGTAGTTAATGTGTGTGGGAATCATAAACATTTTAGCTTACCCTACCCTGAGCTCTGCGAGAGGAATTAATTCTGTTCATTCCAGGAAATAAACAGTAACACTGCACAGTGAACATTGGCACAAAAATATGTGACTTGAAGTATACAAAACTGATGCCTATTAACAATCACTCATAATTGACTGTTAACAATACCTATGTAATATTTTGTATCATATTAATCAACAATTCATGAACATCACCAAATGAAAGCAACACAAACAAACAGGTCTCCCATACACAGAACATGAAACCTGTATTGAAAAGGGAGTTATTTGGGAATTTTCTAGCAAAGCATTGAATGCATAAATATAAAGAGAGGGGTTAAATATGAATTCTAATGAAAAATGGAAAGTTTAGTAAAAATCAATATATTTCCCTGAATAGCATAATATTTGTAAAAATCCCACAATGTCTGAAAATTTTAGGTCAAAATAAGTTACCTTCAATTTTTGCATATTCAGATATGCGTGTGTAGTTGACCAGGGCAGCATTCTCAAGGCATTTCTTAATAACTTGTCGTACTTCTTCTGATGGAACAGGCGTTGCGATATCTTTCATCAGCACCTGATCCAAATAAAACAAGAAATGTTCACATTATTACTAAAACATCTGAGAAGACAATGAAATTGACTTAGTTCCCTTTTAGTTTTAGTGAGAGTTTTTCGGCATTTTACGGTACTGATATATTACAAAAAGGTCATATAAGTGCCAAAGAATAGATGTGTTACAAGAGAGTAACATATACAAAAAAGAAGGAGGAGAGATATGGACTATAGATGTTTGATAGAAAAGAAGGAGCAAACCCCCACCAGAGCACCTGCGAACCACTCACCGACTTACAACATCTGTCAATACTTTAATACTGTTTTGGAGTCTTTGGCAAATTGGGAAACCTTCTACAGCCCTTGAACTCAAATGATTCTTTATTGTCTTTTCTCCTGTCTTGCATAACATCATCTACATCAACAAAAACTATATGAAAATACAAATCTTTCCTTCAAGACAAAACAATACATACCCTCTCCAGAAGAGACAGTGTGGCTTTCAGTGCTCCTTCAGGTCGTCCAAATGGAAAACAGTATCTGAAAATACAATATAGAAATAACTTAACTCTTGCAACTCCTAGGGATAATCCCTATTTTGTGACAGCAAATTCGGTTGAAAATAATGCATACCGTACTATCTTCACCAAAGAAAGATAGGTTTCAAGCAACAAGCTTGTATTTCCAAGCAAAATATTCAGAAAAGAATAAAGATTTGTAACATGAAGATATAATTATAGTGGAGGCAAGCAGATGTTTATGATTAATGAGGAAAACAAGAAAAAAACATGGATGTGGCGTCTAGTTAGTAGATGTAACAACATTTTGAGTTAACATCAGGACTAAAAATTGCTTTTCCGTGAAAATATAGTTGAAAAAGCCTCTACACTTTAAATGTAAGATTTACTTTGTCCATGTGTAGATGCAAATGCCTTTACACCTTAAAAAATAGCCATATTCATCACTTTGAACCTTTGAGACTGTCACTGGCAATCGCAGCATTCAGGAGTGAAGCATGTGGGTACTGCGTTAAAAAGATTAATTTCTATGACAGTTATGTTACCCCACAGGAGGTTAGTTTAGTTTACCTGAAATGTGTGATTTGCTTTTCCAACAAAACCCTCAATCTCTCCTTTATCTCATCAAAGGTTGTTCTCTCTGCCTGCAACACTGTGCCAATACCATCTGGCCTGGAATGAAAATGAACAGAAAACTGTTACACAGAAATACTTGTTACCACTTTCAGCACACTAGTAAACAAAAAAATTAGGACCAAATTCTAATAAACCATCACTCCTTCAGTTTCTATACCAATACTATTTCATTTCTCAAGCTCGGCTATTACAGAGGCTTGAAACCCAGTAGTGTAAGAGAAAACGTATTTAATTGACTAAAATATTGTTTTGGGGTTTTCATTCTGCTACAGAAGAATTTGTCTTTGAATAATTAAATTCTGTCCTAAAGCTTAAAAAACGATGCTTTAAGTCAAAATAGTGCTTTTGAGTAGAGGAAGCTGAACATAAACGTATATCAAGACAATAAGATTTGCACACTGTTTACTACAGCTACCACACAACAGATATCTATACATTAGTTTAACATGAAATTTAAGAATGAACAAATGGTGGTACAGATACAACCATCGCAACACTCACTAAGTCATACTTTTAGTCCGAAACAAAGTAATATATTGTATTTCCATTGATCACTGCAAGGGAGTTTCTGGGAAATGCCAGACAGTGATTGGTCCTCACTAAAGTAATACATGACAACCACTACCCACAAACCAATATCAACAAGCAGGACGACTAAACAATTAATTAATTATTTATCAGTTAGTTTTAGTAAGTGTTCTACGGCACTTGCAACACAATAAGGTCATAAAAGTGCCGAAGATTAGAGGTGTTACAAGCGAGTAACAAACATAAAAAAGAAGGAGGGGAGATGAGGATGATAGATGTTTGATAAGAAAGAAGAAGAAAACCACACCAGAGCACCCGCCAACCACCCACAATGAATCATCACCTGGATCCGTGGACGTGTGAGGCACAAAAGGCAAAGCTATAGTGTATGAGTGTCGGGTCGATGAGGATGCCCTTCTCCGCCCTCTCCAGCAGGTCGTTGAGGTAACACAAGTTCCGGTGACACCCTCGCACACCGTAGCGGGCACAGTACTCATCCAACACAAACACCTGGCCCGGGCTGAACCAACCCTGAGAGGTAAAGAAAAGAAAAGAAAAAAACAAAACAATTACAGACAGATCTTGTTAGTTTGTTAGTGTTTGAGCGCTTAATCAACTGCTTGCACTGTATGCTTCCCGGGGAGCTGAGAATGTTTCTGAGTGTTCTAGCATCTACTGGGGCAATATTATAGTGTAAAGCGCATAGAGCTTGTTGTCAAGTTGGGATATGCGCTATACAAATGCTATTTATTATTATTTATTATTATATATCCAGACCAATGTGCAGTCGAAACAGTCCAAGATCATCACTTATTGATGAGAAGAAAAGTGGCCGTTTTACAAAGGAATATTTTTCTTTTACTCATGATATCATACTTATCATGAGACGGTTATTCATTAACACGAATCATGACTATCTTAATAC